AAACTTTTCACGGTCCCTTTGATTCTTTCCGTGCGCTGAATATAAATACCCAAAATATTGCTTTAAAATACAAATTTACAGGGAAGTAAACTAATTTTCAGAAAATCTATATGGGTTGTAATGTTTCATATGTAAGTATTTTGCGTTTTAATTCGTAGATGTTTGAATATTTAGATAAACTTCTTTGAGAATTTGTGACATTTTTTGACGTTTCGTCAACCTTATCTGAAATAGTAGGGGAGCTAGCACGAAATCCACTGAACGAGAATGATCAAAATTTTAACCTATGGAGTTCCATTTTGCCCTATCAGAGTATGCTAAAATCGATCGTCTGCCGCCTCAGGTCATACGACTTAAGGCGCTGCGGGTACTTCTTGTGGCACCAATTCTGAAAGGTTGCTTTCGAGAAAATAAGTTATACACCAAATGAAAACGTTGATAATAGCTCTTAAAAAAATATTTAAAAAAATCGCGCACATTTGATAACTCCGTACAAAAACAATTCTTAGTCGGTTTTTCACGAACTTTCTACGGATATAACTAGGTTACCGTTGGAAGAATGAAGCTGATTTTTTTTACAGACTAATGAGAGGTACAGCCAATGACTGAGAGTGTTTCTTTTTTAAATTTTTTCTCTAATTATAAGATATCTTATAATGTTAAGATAATAAGATAGTCTTGTAATTAGAGCAAAAATTTAAAAACGAAACACCGTTAAGTCATTAGTAGTACCTATCATCAGTCTGTAAAAAAAACCAGCTTCATTCGTCCAACCGTAACCTAGTTATATCCGTAGAAAGTTCGTGAAAAACCGACTAAGAATTGTTTTTTTACAGAGTTATCAAATGCGCGCGATTTTTTTAAATATTTTTTTAAGACCTATTATCAACGTTTTCATTTGGTGTATAACTTATTTTTTCGAAAAACAACCTTTCAGAATTGGTACCGCAAGAAGTACCCGCAGCGCCTTAAGTCGTATGACCTGAGGCGGCAGACGATCGATTTTAGCATACTCTGATAGGGCAAAATGGAACACCATCGGTTAAAATTTTGATCATTCTCGTTCAGTGGATTTCGTGTTAGCTCCCCTACTAAAATAAACTAATTAAACAAATCGCCTTTGAAATGATTTGAGAGTAACCATGAAAACACATGTTCTATAACTGTTACAAAATAAAAATGTTAGCGAGTTTGTTGTTTTTTATGTTATCGATTTAAAAGAAGTATAATAACAAATATCGTTCATTACACGTCCAGAAATGCTTTTCCGTGCTTGCATGACTTCCCATGTTCGGCTACGCCTCACACGGAAAAAGCCTGCTTTCCGGACTCCTAATGAAATATACTATTCCAGTGGTACCAATAAAGTCAATATTTATTAAGAGCATGTGTTACGTCGCGGAAACATTAAAAACCGGCGTTGAAATGGTCAAATGCCCGTCGCTGTAGACAAGGCATTTTTCAAGATACGTAGCTCAAATTTGGAATAGAGTACCTTCAAATCTTGAGGTACAATCTGTCTGAATTAGAATATTAAAAATCGCGAGTGTTTTTGCAAAAATTACCCTTGAAGTATGACGTTAATGAGAAATATAGTCAATGTTTGACATATTTTTTAGAGGGTTAGAATAATAAAAGTGGAAAAACAATTCAGTCATAATGGAGTTTAGACTGTTATTTACCTTTTAAAAAAAAATTGCGAGTCATTACATTTGATAATAAAATAGTTCTGGGATCGGGTAAAAAGTATGTTTTTGTCATAATTTTTCCGTGATCCAGTATAAGTTTCTCCCACCTTACATTCGCAACAGTTTGGTGTGTAATCATTCCGTTATACCCGCGATCGTACGGTTATTATGGGCGTTTATAATATTAAAAGCGACACAACGACTGACAATCCAAAAGGGAAGGAAATACACGAAGAATTAGAAGTGTACTACTGTACTGTAGTTATTATTCTTCTTATTACTTATTATTATAACATTTTTGCGTTACGAGGTACGTACGGAGTTGTGACTTGACGAACGTACCATAGGAATTTCAATAGTAATTTTTTAATTTCCGATTTGGCTTCCCTAATTATTTTAGAAATAAAGTCTATTTAGGTTTTTTGTAGAGAAAAAAATTACGAATCCGTACATACTATTGTTTCCTATTTTATAAATTCAGAAACAGTAAAAATTTAAAAATTAAAAACCGTCGCGTTTAGAAAGTCGGTAATGCCATAATGGAATTATGAATTTAAACAAAAGCGCTCGCATTGTGTTTATGGAAAAATATAAAAAAAGAAAACTCGAAAATTAACAATCTGTTTTTACTAGTAAAATTCATCCGATCAATTGAAAATCCGTATTTGGTCAGTTCTTTTGATGACAAAACAATAAGACAAACCCGATCACCGTAGGTGCCACAGCCACTGAACGAGCTCCTAGCGAGTTTATAATTTTGCGGTACCTGTCCGTCTGTCCGTCCGTTACCACGATTTCTCGATAACGAATGGACCGATTACAATGAAATTTTGTAGGTGGATTCATTATCAAGTTTGTAGATCGGAGTTCGTGAATTGGTAATGTAGGTCAAAAAATAAGGAAGGCCCTTTTGACATCTCTGTTAGTGATGAACCGAATTGCATGAAATTCAATATGCGTATAGGTTTAGCCATATAAAACGCAATTCCAAAAATTGAGCCTAACCGATCAACATTCACAGTGCCTTTTTCGCATCTCGACCATTTATAATCCGAATTGCAAACTTTTTTATTTATGAAGGTATTTAAATGAAATTTGATACATAGGCACTTGAAATAAAACCAAATTTACCGCGAGTTTCAAAATTTCGGTTTGCGCATGCGCAGTGCTAACTTTCTTATTTATGGAGGGATTTAAATGAAATTTGATACATAACTACTTGAAATAAAAGCAAAAACGCTCTGGGAGTTACCCAGTTTGAAAGAAAGCATCTTTTTTTTTAAATTTGTTTATTCAATCATGCAATAACTATGAAACCTCGTATGAAAATTATGGTGATTGGGTTTGTCATATTTTTTGTTATCAAAAGAAATGACCAAATACGGATTTTCAAAGATGGGATGAATTTTACTTAGTAATAACAAAATGTGAATTTATTTCTTATATTTTTCGATAAAAAACAATAAACAAAACAATGTTGCATTAAACGTACCGTGAAATTCCCAAAAGGCGTTATGATATGGGGATGTATGTCAGCAAAAGGTTTGAGGCACTTTGAAGTTATCGACTGTACTGTAAACGCAGAGAAATATCAAAAAATATTAAGGAATAAGCTTCTCCCGAGTGTGGATAAGCTGTATGGCGAAAAAGATTTCGTTTTCCAGCAAGACGGAGCCTCTTGTCATACAACCAAATCAACTCAAAATGGCTCTCTGAGAATGGGATAACAGCTCTGTCATGGCCTTCTACTTTCTAGTAGCCCACACCTAAATATTATTGAAACCCTTTGGCATAAGATGAAGCGCAGTTACTAA